TCTTTGACATGAGACAGCATTACTGAAATGCAAAGGAAATCATTGTAATGTTTACAGCTTTTGAGGTCAGCTGTTTTACTATGGATCTACCCACTCTACAGCAGGAATCCTTGAACTAAAATAAATAAATAAATAAATAAATAAATAAATAAATTTAACCCATTGCACCACCCGAGGCTCCTAGAAATTTGTGGTGCCAAATTCCAGGAATTCGTAGGATGGAGCTATGGCAGTTAACATGGTCTCAAACTGCTATGATTCTGCAGTGTGGATAGGAAGTGGGAGTGCAATTGGACGAAACAGGAGACTCCTCTACTTTTCAAGCTATTTGTTACCATTCAAGTACCTCATTGTGACAAGTTGCAATATAACAGACCATTCACAAGGCATACCACAGCATTTCCCAGTAATGATGCACTTAAGAGTACACTTCTGAAGCATCTTCGTCTATTTTATCATGCAGTTTCCGAAAGATAAATGTCTTTATTGACTGAATGAGCCCTGACCTCCTACAATATTCAATTCAACTGGCATGATTACAATGTTTGTTTCAAGTGCTAATCTCACCCTGGATTTTCTGGGTGAGTTGGGCTGTAAATAAAAGGAACTCAAGTGTTCAGTTAAGATTCTTTACTTTTATATAGTTATCAAATGATGCAGTTTAATTCCTTTAAAAAAACAAATGGTAGAGATCTGTGTGCTAATGCCATCCACCTACGGTTTCAGCCCATTGCACTTAAAACTGATTGCCCAGAACATTTCCATTATTCTATTCAAGCTCCATCCTCTTCAGCTAATTTGTCTTCATTTTGCACATTAAATTAAGCCAAATGCTAATATAGCCCCAATGACCAGTATTTTTTAATTAAAAACACATTGGTGACTGTGGCTGCCATCCTGTCCCTTTTTTGATCCATGGTTAAACAGGTATAATTCACTGACTCTGATTGAACAAATGAGCCGCCTCTTCCTGGTTTCAACTTCATTTAATCGTGATAACAAGTGAACCATCCCAAATTCAGAAGGTGGTTTATGGATTATTGAATTTATCTTTCGCATCCCTTTAATATCCTGTCTGTTGCTGGTCCTAGAGGTGACAAAACTTCCAGGCCTTATTGGACCACATCTCCCAACGTTTCTGTCTATTGACCACTCACATAAAAGGTGCAATATCCAGCAACATTTAGATGGCCACAACTTTGCCATATTGATATATCTGATGAGCAGTTTTGCTATTTGGGCAAAATTCAGTAAACCTTAAGACTAAAATCCTATAAACGCTTACTTGGGAATAAGTCTCGCTGAATATTTTGTTTGGGGTATTTCCAGATCACTGCCCAGCCCACAATACATAGCTCCAGAGGCACTGCACAACAAACAAAAGCAATTAAAAACGGCACAAAGACAAAAAGCATAAAATTCATTAAAATACCCTCTTAAAAGAATCCTATAATATAATTGCATAACAAACAAAATAGAGTGTTTCCACTCATCAGTGGCCAAGGAAAACAATACTGTTTCAGCTGCCTGCCAGAAGCTCAATACAGTCCAGATGAGCCAACTTAACTTCCTTTGGCAGGAGTTCCATTAGGAAGCCTAGTTACTTATGCTTACCAATTTAACCTCACAGTGTATTAGGCCGTGCAACAGGAGCTGTCCTGAGAATCTCAGATTTCAGGCAAATTGATTTTGGAGGAGTCAGACAATCCTGGGCCCTGTTGCATGTAGATCAATATCTGTGTCTTCAGTTCAGCTCACAAGAAAATGAGAACATAATGAAATTATTTTAAGCTGGGGTCACCGTATATTCTCATGTATGAGTGAACCTCATATATAAGTCTAGGGCCAATTTTGGGAGCCAATTTTGGATTTTAATCCAAATTTGACTATTGGAACAACTCAGGAGGCCAACTACTTCTGGCCACCAATACTATTTTTCCACCCAGGCATTGAAAAAGGCCAGGAGCGGTGCCATAGCGGAGACAGAAAAGGTGGTCAGTGGTTCCTTTCGTTTCTCCCCCAAGTCAAACTAACTTCATGTCATTCTACTCAGAGAAGGAAATTGTTCATTTTTATAACAATATAAGGCACAGTGGCCACATTGCGTAAGTAGACCCAGGGGTTGATTTTTGTTTTTGGGGGGGGGGTATTTTTTTGACTAAAATGCCTAGACTTGTACATGAGTACACAGTGTATGTAGTCTCTAAAAATGGAACATATTTCCAAGTAATGCTGTGAGAACCATTGAAAGCAACAAAATTCAGAATTGAGTCTTAGTTTTTTTTCTGGAAAAGTAAATTTTGTACACTAAAGATGGAGAATATAAAATCTGAGCGCGCTATAAATTACTGTGCCTTCATTGCCAGAATACTTCCCTGTTTGGTCATGCCTATTAAAGATGTTAAAGTGGCACATATAATGTATAGAATTCAGAGCCCCCCCCCCCCCCAGATTATATCTACAAGTAGAACTTTTAGCTTGAGAGAAGGTGGGAAACTTTAGAAATGAAGATTAAGAAAATACAAGTTGCGTCCTCCCCTTATCCAAAATTCATTAGGATTTAATTCTAAGAACACTCATCTGATCCATGTTTCCTAGGCTAACAAGTGGTTTGTAACACCATGATTATGCTGTACGTTTTGCATTTCTACTTTGAAATACACTTAGTCCTCCATAACTGCATATGATTATTCACAAATTTGATTAATATGGGCTCCCAGGGACTCTTTAGGTCCTACAGTGCAAAGTGTGATTAATCTTCACTGGTAGTTGCCATAAAGATGCCCTCAAAGACCAGTGGTCTGCAAGAATGAAAATACAGTACACGGCCTCACCATTACTACACCATTGCCTCAGAACCACCCATCAATGAGCGACTGGTCTTGCAAAACTCTCTTATAGTGCTGAGGCAACAGGGATGTCAGGAGGGGAGAGACTGACTACCCACAAAATATTATTACCACCACAGCACCTCTAGATTATTAAATATGGTTTTTGGTGGGTGAGCAGATGGTGAAACTAGAGTGGATGTGGTCTATTCAATGTGGTCTATTCAATGCAATTTTCTGAATCAGTATCCCAAATAACCAAACTGAATCTAAAGTTGACCAAAAACCGATTTGTAACCCTTTTGGGACTAATGCTGGAGAGTAGTTCCTGGTGAAAGTGGTCCCTGGTCAAAAAAAGGTTGGGAACCACTGACCTACAGGTTCCTCAACTGGTTGATCAATGGGATAGCAGATTTGAAATAACACATGAAAAACCAATATGTGCTCTTCAATGAAAAAGGGTTTCTTGGGGAATAGAGAGATATGTCAAGCAAAAGATAAGAGAAGGATTCTTTGTCTTCCTTCCCTTATTTGGAGGACAGGCATTGACCTTAGACAAGTGGCATTAGGCACCAATTAGGCAGTGCCGTGTACAGAATGGGGGACGGATTTGCTAATTAAAAGCTTCTGTCCATTGACCACAAAATACAGGAAATGATTGATTAAGGGTCATTGTGTCAGTCCTGAGAGGGAAGCAACTAATTAAAAGAATTGGGACACGGTTTCAGTGGTGTTTTGGCCATTACATTAGCTCGCCCAGTGCTGCAATTCCTGCTTAAGTAAATAAAACAATTTCATAAAAATCAGTTTGAAGTGGGGAGAGAAAGAGAAGGAGAAGAGAGCTCACATTAGAGTATGCACCAGGGTGGTGACAATATTCTGTATACAAAGGCACTGAACAAAGAATGCCAATTCCAGACAAATTGGTAGTTTCAAAGCAGCCCAAGTGACAAAGTATGCTTTTCAGGAAAGAAATAGCCCGGTAATCTATCAAGGTCTGCTTATGTGTTTTCACTTTGATTCTTTTAACAGGAGAGAAAATTGTATCCTTTCCTCTTTTTATGTTCTTAAAGTATTTCCTAAAGCATTCTGTCTCTTTTTCAAATGAACCTGAGAGGCTGATTTTGGAGTTTCCATCTTGCTTGAATACAGCACAGCTATGAAAATCTTCCACAACTTATTGAATCCTAATGCCAAATGCTTAAAGTTTAATATTTTGTTACATAAATATATTTCATTTTAATCTTTTAATAGTTCCAAAAAATGAAAAATACATAACGCGTTTGACATGGCTACCACATAACACAGCATATATTCCAATAACAAAAATACTTGTAGAAACACAAAAGCAAACACACACACACACACACATACTTTTTATCGTGTCAGGAGTTACTTGAAAAACTGCAAGTCGCTTCTGTTGTGAGAGAATTAGCTGTCTGCAAGGACGTTGCCCAGGGGACGCCCAGATGTTTTTCCATCCTGTGGGAGGCTTCTCTCATGAGACTCTGGAGCTGATAGACAGGAGCTCACCCCTCTCCCCGGATTCGAACCACTGACCTTTCGGTCAGCAGTCCTGCCAGCACAAGAGTTTAACCCATTGCGCCACCGGGGGCTCCATACACACACACATATAAAAATGTTTTCCTGTTTTCTTATCATTTGTTTAAATGTATAATTAAAGTGCATTATTTAAATGTATTATACTTGCAGATTACACATCATAAGGGAAGACAAATACAAAAAGCGAGAGAGTTTATTATGACCTAATAGGAATTTCTATTTATAGTTTAAAATTGCAGAACGTCGGTTTCCAAAACCTCCACATGTAATATTTTCTTTACTGTCTCGTAGGGATTGCAAGAGGGATCTCATTCATCTTTAAACCTATTTATTGACTTGTCTCTAAATAATGTAGTTACTTTATCCATTTTTGTAAGTCCAAACCTCTTATCAACCCAGTCTTCTACCTCTGGAATTTCATTACTTTTTCACTTTGGGGTATATAGGTTCCTTGCTGCTGTATTTCAGGATCTCCTCTTGCTTTGTTTTTATTTGATCATCCATCACATTTAATAGTAGCAATTCTTGTTTAATGCATACATATTTTATAAGCTGGGTGTTCGTGAGCGTTGCAAGCCCAAACTGATTCCAATCACTCTTCCTGTTCAGTTCTAGGTAAGATCCGGAGTGCCGTGGGAAGCGCCCAACTGCTTATGTCTCAAAAATTCCAGCAATTCTATTGGCTATGTCAACAGAATCTGGTAAGTTGGTGTTCTTAAAATGACTCGGTGCCAAGCTATTTTAAGTGTTCTGCCTTGGAGTTTACTTGTTGTCCTGAGAAACATGAAGCAACCAATTTACTATTATAACTACTGTTACAACTCTAGAAGATCATTCTGAACTCTCTTTCTAAAGACAATCTAGACATGCTGAGTATGCTGTTTTATGACAAGGGTTGGGACTTTATTTAATATTGAATTAATATCCTGCTTTTCTTCCAAATCTAAGATTCCAGGCAGCTTATTATTTCTGAAAACAAAGAAAAAAGAGAAGGGTTGTTCTTCAGTAGTTAAATTGGGTCACGAATAAAGTTCAGCTGAGAAATCACCTGTCGCACTTCAGTCATATTGCAACTCCAAATGGTCTATTTACTCATATTATTAATCAAGGCTGCATTGACGGCAACAACATACATCATTATGAATTACATCAGGGATGAGATACATAACCATGTTTGTGAATTAGGTTAGCACAGTGCAGCATTGTGCACCAAGTTATGGAGGCGTCTCATTTTGCAACACGTCCCGTTGCGTAATGTGTTGCAAAGGAGATTTCCCATTGTGTATTGGAAGACATCACCCTTCATGACATGTTGTGCACCTGGATGCATTGTGTAGTGGTCACATGACTGGTTTCATTTACATAAGGTCCCAGAGATGTAGCTATGTCTATGCACTCTCCGTGTGCATGTTGCACAACATAAAAATTCACCTTTACATGATCATAAGATAGTTTAGAATCACACACATAAAATAGATTTTTCAAAGATACCTCCATGCATGGTGGAAGGTCTCTTTCATATTGTTGCTGTCCAAATGAAGTCAGAACTGATGAAGACTTCATCGTAGCGCTATATTTGTGTAATGTGAAAAGGCTCATAGCCCATACAAATCCTTACATCAGTTGGCATTTCATTCTTGATATACTCCCTCCATCTCTTTTCTTTTCACACTAAATTAGCTGTGAAGGAGCCTTCTGTCAGGATACAGGACAATAGTGAAGGACAGCATTTCCTGTTACATTTACTTTCTTGTTAGGATGAGAGAACTAAATAATCCTTTGAGTTGGCGCTAGAGGATGTGACCTATAAATCTGTCTGATTTAAAATATTTACAGCATAACCTTTCCCAGCATGACAAGGCATTCGTTTTGTGCATGCCTATTTGAAACTTGTTATCTAATAAGGTTAAATCAACCAGTTGTTTGGAGGGGGACGCATTGAAATGCTCCAAGTTGCAACTACATGCACTGGTTCAAAGTGATTTAGTTGATATAGTGCATACACTAGGTGAATTTTGTATGGGGGTTATATTAACACTTCTCAGTAGAGTTTTGAGTTCTGAATGAATTGGATGACCCTCTCTGGTCTTTTTGGCATTGTATGAAAACTATAACTCAATCTTGTATCATATAAACACAGTAGTGACTTAGCCATAGTGGGATTCACAAATCTGAGCAGTTGGGAAAAAGAAAAGACTAGACTAGTGGCATTCAACCTTCAGTCCTCCAGGTGTTTTGGACTCTCAAAATTCTTGACCACTGGACAAGCTGGCCAAAGTATCTCTACCCTTTTATTAGTGGTTACCAACCTTTTTTTTTACCAGGGACCACTTTGACCAGGGACCACTCCCCAACATTAGTGCCAAAAGGGTTAGGAATCAGTTTTTGGTCAGCTTTAGATTCGGTTTTGTTATTTGGGGTGCTGATTCAGAAAATTGTACTGGATAGACCATATCAACTCTAGCTTCTGATACAGAAAATATGCCATCCAGTAGTCACCATCTGCTGGCCCACAGAAAACCATATTTAATAATCTAGAACTGACGTAGTAGTAGTAATCTTTCGTGGGGAGTCAGCCTCTCTCCTCCCAACATACCCATTGCCTTGGCACTATAAAAGGGTTTCGCAAAACCAGTCCCTCTCTTTGCAACAGTGTAGTAATGGTGAGGCTCTGGACCATATTTTCATTCTTGCCGACCACAGGTTGGGAGCCACTACCTTATACGTGTACATACACACATGTGTACGTTAGCTGGGATCCAAAATACTAAACTAATTTAGTGAATTCTTTGCCTTATTTATTTATTTATTTATTTATTTAGTACACTTGTATACCGCTAATATCTCAGCCTAAAACGGCGACTCATTGCGGTTTACAATATTAAAAACAACAATATTCCGATAAAACTATAAAACACATACATATACAATACACAGTATTGGGCCACCAATACAGACCAATGCATCTCTTAACTTAAATCATAATCCAATTTCGTTGTCTGTAATTACCAGTCCTTGATCAAAACTTCATCGCATCGGATTAGCCGAATGCTTGCTCAAACATTATTTGTGTTAGCACATGTTCAGAAACACAAGCACGCATTTTCTAGTTCTATATAGTTTTCTTTTTTAAAAAATCATACTATGCTCTGCTTTGCAGATGCCCTTGCACCAGAGATGGATGTTGCTAGCCTTCTGAATTGTAATGAGATCACAGCTTCAGGCAATGCAGTTACAGCCCAATACAGATGGGAAAGCATTATCCTTGCCCCTTTTGTTAGCTATTTTGTCCTCTGGACATATTCCATGAATTTAAAGCGACATTTCTATGGTTTTATTTTTGGTTTTCTTTTTATAAAGAGGCCCAACTATCTAAGTAAGATCAAATTTAAGATGCCTTAAAATGAGGTATCTCTGTATTAATGTTTTTTGGGCAGATGTTACTAATCAGAAGCAGCATACTTTATCAATGTATGTATATAGTTATATTTCAGCAGCAGCAGGCAGCCCTCTTGTGGCTCAAAGAAAGTAAAGCAGCCATTCAGGGAAGGAGCAATACTACAACATCTATACTGCACCAAATCAATGCTTTCTATAGCTTTGCCAAGGAAACAAGCATCTTCACCATAATCCTCTCACACCAGGATTAAACCACTTACATCATTTGAATGGTGGGGCATTTTCTAACTCCAATGAAAATTCCAATTTATTGTGACATTGGAAGGACATAAAAATGAATCCTGTCCAAAAGAGTGTGTATCTACAGAAGCAACTATGGATCCTTTTATAAAAACTCGTACAGTAGAGTCTCGCCTATCCAACCTTCGCTCAGCAAATGTTCTGTATTATCCAACACAGTCTGCCTCTTGCCCGGATCCACAGCTGTTTCAATACATTGCGATGTTTTGGTGCTAAATTCATAAATACGGTAACTACTACATAATGTTACCGTGTATTGAACTGTTTTTTTCTGTTGATTTGTTTTAAAACATGATGTTTTGGTGCTTAATTTGTAAAATCATGAGGTAATTTGATTTTTAATAGGCTTTTCCTTAATCCCTCCTTATTATCCAACATTTTCACTTATCCAACGGCCCGTTTATGTTGAATAAGCAGGACTCTACTGTAGTCAAAACACAGAAGGTATTCCACCTTCTATGTTTTGACTACAGTAGAGTCTTGCTTATTTGATCTTTCAAAAATAGATAAAATAAAATGTATACTTTTTGAGTTATGGGTATTTCCTCTCACCCAAGAATTCCAGTGCTTTCGAGGAAGAAAGCTAAACTCACCCTGAATAGGGATATTGTAATAACAACTAGAGCATAAAATTGCTGCCTTGCTATACCATGATTGGCTCTTCATGAATTTCATTTAGAATTGATCAGGTTTTGCAGACTAAGAGTGATTGCTTCCCAGATTACTTATTTACTTAGGCGATCCCTCGTAGCTCGAGAATGATTGTCTTCCAGATGTGGTGTCTTGGTGGGTCCGTAGGTGGCTGTGGAGCCCTATTCTTGATCCACATCTATTCCCACAGTGAGGACATCAGTTTCCAGGTGGAAGGTGGTCCCAGCCAGGGTTGGCTTGACACGCATTTCTCTTGGCACGTTTCTCTCTTTCACCCTCCATTCATGTCTCTTTGAATTCTGGAGCACTGCTGGTTACAGCTGATCTCCAGTTAGAGCACACAAGGGCCAGGGCTTCCCAGTTCTCGGTGTCTCTGCCACAGTTTTAAGGTTGTCTTTAAGGCCATCTTTAAATCTCTGTTCCTGCCCACCAACATTCTGTTTCCCATTCTTGAATTCAGAACAGAGTAGCTGCTTTGGGAGATGGTGATCGGGCATACGGACAACGTGGCCAGTCCAGCGGAGTTGATGGCGGAGGAGCATTGCTTCAATGCTGGTGGTCTTTGCTTCTTCCGGCACGCTGTCCTTTATCTGCCTGTCTTCCCAAGAGATTTGCAGGATTTTTCAGAGGCAGCACTGATGGAATTGTTCCAGGAGTTGCATATGACATCTGTAGACAGGCCACATTTTGCAGGATTGGGAGGACAATGGCTTTATAAATAAGCACCTTGGTTTCCCTACAGATGTCCCGGATTAAATCTATCCCTCTGTAATGTAGTCTTCCTATTGCCTTTTAACTTACTAATCATTGTATTTTCTAATGAGTCATATCATCTCTCGATATAGGCAAAATGCAAGAGTCTCAATTTAGTCATCTTGACTTCTATGAAGAATCCAGGATAGATTTGGTCTAGGGCCCATTTATCTGTGTTTTTAGTAGTCTATGGTATCCATTCAATACAATTTGCTTCAGCATCACAATTCAAATGAATTGATTTTCTTCCTAGCAGTTTCTTCACTGTCCAGTTTTCACATGTAGGAGTGGGAGATATGATGGTATGAACAATTCTAGTTTTAGCATTCAACACTATAAGATCTTGTCTAGCTCCTTCATCTCTGCCTTTCTTAACTGAAGCCTCCATTCTAATTAATGACTGAGCCAACATATGGGGAATCCTACTATTTCAATGCCTTTGTCTTCTTCCTTAAAGTTATTGAAGTCTTTTGTGATCATTATTTTTATTTCCTTAATGCTCAACCGTAAACCCTTCTTTGCATTTTCTTCTTTAACGTTCTTCATGAGTAATTTCAAGTCTTTCAAGTCTTTGCTTTTTTTAAATGGGTACATAATTGTTCATGTTCCTTCCTCCAGTTTTCCTATCTCCTTCTCCTGAGTGTAATTGTGCTTTACATATTATATGTTCGGCGTGCATGTTATTTCTCTGCATTGATCATTATCGTAGTTCTAGTAGTCCCTGGGTAAAAGTCACCGAACAGTTCCTTCGGGGTTCTGAATCTATTTCAGTCACTTTTTATTTTTCCTTTTCATATGTCACTGGCTGCTTGAAGAGTTGTTTTCTATCATCCACCGGGTTTTCTCTTTCTGTTTAGGTGCTGATCACGTCTTTTTGCATGCCTCCCTGACAATGTACCTGACTCCATCAAAAGGCACTTCTGCCTCCTAATCAATTAGCCTTAATACTGTAAATCATTTTTTTAACTTCAAATACTATAAAGTGCAGACTTTGGCATTTTCCAGGGCTAGGAGTGCAGCAGCCTCATAAAAATAGGAAATACACTTTTTAAATAACTTAAGAGAACACCTCTGAATGTCTAGGTTTTCCAACTTAGAGCTGGCTTGCACAACATACGGCCTGCAGACTACTTGAGGCCCAAAAATGATTTTGGGCAACATGCAAAAATGTAGAGAATGTAAAAGAAAAGCAATTCTTGGCTCCATCATTGGCTTCAGGTCTCTTCTTTTCTTATGTTTCCATGGCCAAAAATATCAGGCCAGGTCGGCCCAATGCTCACTCCTGCAAGCTGGTAGGAACCGGAATCTTCCCCTTTCCTGTGGTTTATTCCTCTCTCTCCTCCAACCATACATCACAATGTCATGGTTGCAAATCTCTGAGACACAGATTTGAGATCACAGCTTGAGGAACAAAGCAGGGGAGAGGAGGTTGGCAAATGAGAGGAACAGAGCCTTCATTGAGAGCCTTCATTGAGAAGGAGGAGGAAGAGGCACAAACAACAACTCCTGCGAAAGCAGCAGCAGAAACAGGCTGCTTCTCTCCTCTAATTTTTTATATTAATACTTCATGGTATTTTCTATAATCTGCTCTGATTCTTTTTTGCATAAAGAATTGATCTTCTCCATCTTCTGCTTTCCATCACGCCATCTATTTGATTTCTATTTTGGCCATCAGATGACGCCTATATATACAGCTACCTCTTTGATTGCTTGGAGAATGTGCTTCCTATAAACGAACTGTTGGCTTTCCAATTCAGTCAAGTGGCCTGCTGATTCATTTCTTGAACCTAAGTCAGATTTTCCTACAATCTTTGATTCTGCTCCATGTTTGGTAATCTCTACATTACAAAGACAAGAATAACAATTAAATAGATGTTAAAAAAACACTTTCATGGCACCTAGAACAAGCAACCATTGTGTCCTGTGCTCTGCCTAATTATAGGGCCAGTTCTGTGTTGTTAGCTCTATGTATTTATTTACTTCACTTGTATACCACTTTTCTCACCGCAGAGGGGGATTCAAAAGCTATTTCCAACATATTTATAGCAAAATGCAATGTCCCACATACATATAAAACCTAACATAGAGCAGCAATAACATATAACTATCATTTAGATCATAAAACATAACAACATTTAGACATTCAAACATGGAGTTAAAAACATATTAATATAAATGTTAAAATCGTCTAATCTGGAAATCATGGTCCAAGGCTGTTCCAAATGTCAAATATCAATTGCATATAATCTCTGATAATTCCTTGTATTGCTTATTACCCAAAGGCTTGGTCCCATAAGCAAGTTTTTACTTTTTTTCTGAAGACCAGGAGGGAGGGCACTGATCTACTTTGCTTTCAATTCTACTAAAATATGTGATCTACCTCCCCTCCCCCATAATTAGAGGGCTTAATCTTGCTCTTCATTTAAAAAAAACATTTAATATATAACTTTGGCTGGTTCTGTTAAGCTTATCTTGAGAACTTAGTGTCTACTCAACAAAGTTATGAAGATCTTGAAACATTGTTTCTTCCTTTTAGACCATTCAGGAAGCAGCTTATTTCTATCAAAGAGTTTGCCTTCTGCCTAATCCATTTTCTATTCTAACTTTCAATTAAGTGACACTTTCTTTGTTGTGTACACGTCAGGATCCCAGTGCTATGCCGCGGCCAACTTCGCAGGATCTAGCTGGATTCTGGGACTTGTTACAGCTTTCAATTGAAGATGTCAGTATAAAGTTTGATGAACTACACCAGCTGAAACTGAATGAATGGAAAATAATAGAATCACCTGAAAGGAAGGTAAGTAGAATGTAGGCAGAACCATTCATTTGCAGTTTGAATTGACACCCATCTTGTGTCGTACCCATTCATTTTGAAGCCTACACTTATTTCCCTTTGAGCTAGTCATTGGGCAATATGACCAAGAAATAAAGAGTTCTATTTCAAAAGTGAAAATATCGGTCACTAATACTAGCCCACCCTCTGTCATTTGGCCATCCTAGTCCTGACAGTGCTTTATTAGAGTAATCAAAGGATTTTTTAGACTTTGGTTCAACAGACAAGTTCTCAGACAGAAATGGGACAAATGAGATCTTCCAAATGACTGCCTGCAACTCCTTTGTCCTCCACCATGCTGGCCAGGGCTGATGTTAATTGCAGTCCAGAAATATCTAGAAAATCACAAATTCCATGGCCAATGATGGTGGTTCCAAACTTGAAACACACACACACACACACACCTGAATTTGTTGGAGAAGAATTCCCATCTTGGACAATCATTGTGAATTCTGGGAGTTGTAGTCCAACAACTGGTAACTCATATTTGTCAAACAATATCCTAATCAGTGACTAAAGGATGACCCTTGATAGTGTTTTCTATTAGTCAGTCTAGGCTATAAATCAGGACTTATCTATGCATGATCAGGAGTCATAAAGGCCTGCTGTTCTCTTGCTTCAAATTATTTATGCTATTGAAGGAATGTATTCTGTCTCTCCATCAGAACTCTGTTCTTATGAAGCAACTGTTCCTCCAGGGAACAGGGCAGATGTTGTATGGTTATGTGCTTGGATTTTGTTTCTAAAATTAAGATAATCCTCATAAGTGTGCCTTCAAGAGAAATGCTGACTCACGAGGCTCTTTTAAAATAGAAACAGCAGCATATGAATAATAATGACTCTATTGTTTCATTGATGTGAACATCAACTCTGGTAGGGCAAGCGTGGGCAACATCCATAGGATTAGGGGCTACTTTTCAGGTTGGGAAAATGTTTGAGGGCTGTATGCCCCAGAACTATGTCTTACAGTGAACAATAACTACTTTCTATTCACAGATTTGTTTCTCATATTTAAATTTCCTTGTTAACAAGGTACAATTTCTCCCACTCGTTATTAACAGACAATAACCTCCCTACTCATTTTTAACAAATACATTCTCCATGCATGATTTTTTTATCATGTCAGAAGTGAATTGAGATTATACTGCAAGTCACTTTTGGTGTGAGAAAATTGGCCGTCTGCAAGGACATTGCCAGCGGATTCCTGAATGTGTTACCATCCTGTGGGAGGCTTCTCTCATGCCCCCACATGGGAAGCTGGGACTGACAGATGGGAGCTCACCCCATCTCATGGATTTGAACCGCTGACCTTCAGGTCAGCAGTGCAGCCGGCACAAAGGTTTAACCCATTGCACCACCGCAGCTCCATGCTTGATTATTTATTATTATATGTACATATAAATTGGCTCCAAATGTAGTTAAATCAATTTTAATTGATATGATATTGCCAATTGACTATGACACTGACTATAATATTAACCATTTCGTTGACAACTAAATACACTGTGTATTCACCATGTAGTACCTTTTCCCTTTGACTGCTTCATAGTTAGTCAGTTTTAATGCATGCACACATATGTACATGTAATGTGAACTGGGGTACCCTTTCAAAAAGCCAGTTGAAGTGCTGCATACCATCAGCATAATAATAATAACTTTATTCTTCTTTCCACCATCTCCCCAAAGGGACTCATGGCAACTTACAGATGGCACAAAATGCCTAAAAACAAACATAAAAGTGAACACAATATAAAATACAATAAAATAAGACACATGCACATATAAAAACAGCACTTTATGCTTTACTTAGAGAAGTATTTCAACTCCAATATAAATGTATCTGCCTTCTCCCTGCTGCTTATCATTTTCACTAGTTCTGTCAATCCTGACTTCCTAGGATATTCCAAGGCAGGACAACTAGACTGGAGCACCCTCTAATAGGGAGGCTAAAAACTTCCAGTGGCCTGCTCGAAAAATGCATCTACATTGCAGAATTAATGCAGTTTCATATCACTAACTGGCATGACTAAGTGCTGCAGAATCCTGGAAGTGGTAGTTTTGTGAGGTCTTTAGGCTTCTCTGCAAAGGAGTGCTGCTGTATCACCAAACTTCGTATCCCAGGATTCCATAACATTGAGCAATGGCAGTTAAAGTAGAGTCAAGATACATTAATTCTGCAATGTAGATGGAACAGGAAACAGCATTTTGTACACAAAAAATAATATTTTCTGCGCAGAAACTAGTGCTCCCTGCAAAACGCGCTGTTTTCCACACAAAGCAACCACATGCAAATTTTGCAGAAACATTCCAGGATTCGTCACACCAGGGTCTCTCAAAGTATGTTTTTAGGCCATTAAAATAGTTCCCACCCTCTATTCTGACTAGTACTAATATTTTGTAAGTAGGAAGCAAGAAGAGCAAGAACAAGAACCGGGTTATATATTCATCTTCTTCATGGTGGGCTATTTTTTATTTAACGGAGTTTTTTTGACAGATGAGCATTCAGAATGGCACTCTCCTTCCCCACTCAAGGGTATGGGGCACAATTGAAGCCCCCCCCCCTCCTTAGCCAGCAATAAAATCCTCCTTAGAGTTTTCTTTTTGCATTCATTTCGTGCACTCACAAGAAAAAGAGAGCGAGAAACTGATAATGATAAATACCTAGATTTCCTACATTGCTGTGTTCGCATTCCCATGTTAACTCTGACTGCCCGTTTCATCTGGATGTCTAAACCAGAGTTTCTCCAACTGTGCTCCTCCAGATGTTTTAGACTTAGCTTCCACAATTCCTAACAGCTGATAAACTGGCTGGGATTTCTGGGAGCTGAAGTCCAAAACACCTGGAGGAGCACAGTTTGAGAAACACTGGTCTAAAGTATATCTCTAAATGATCAGTGGGAGTTACATTACGGAAGTTTTAAAAATGTAGGAGCTTGGAAAAGAGTCATCAGTGAACAGAATTAAACATTCAGCTTATTTTCTGTTGCATTTTTAGGCTAGCTATTAGAAATATGTTTCCTGATCCCAAATGGGATCCCCTTAGCTCACTGTTGGGGTCATGAAATATTTGGCAACAGTAAAAGATTTCAGAATGCCATCCATTTACATGAATCTTAGCAACAACATGCAGTGAACTCTGCAGAAATGATTCAGCTTTTCTCCACGAAAAGGAAAGCCAGCCTATTTAGCATGCATGGCAAATGCTGATTTGTTTTCAGTAAATATTTGGGTTTTATACTTATTTTATATATCTATATACCTGGGGTCACATAAAAATGTATTGGCCACAAAGGAGTCACGAGCAGAAATAGTTTAAATAGCCTTGTTTTAGAATATGTTTATCTGATTTGTTTTGAGCTAGTAATAGGCCCTACATGTAGGTTAATACCTGGTTACCACAATGGATTTTCTTCTTTTCTTTCTCACAGGACTGACACCAAGGTGCCATTAATGCCCCCCAAAACTGGCAGAGCAGCTCTCATATTTTATGTTAATAATAATAATAATAATAATAATAATAATAATAATAATAATAAGTTTTTGAAGGCTTTCATGGCTGGAATCACTGGGTTGTTGTTGGTTTTTCGGGCTATGTGGACATGTTCTAGAAGCATTCTCTCCTGATGTTTCTCCTGCATCTATAGCCAGCATCCACAAACCTCACAACCTCTGAGGATGCTTGCCATAGATGCAGGTGAAACGTCAGGAGGGAATGCTTCTAGAACTTGGCTATATAGCCTGAAAAATCTAAAACAACCCAATAATAATAATATTTATTTATATTCCGCCCTTCTCCCCAAGAGGAGAATTACAGCATTTACATACATAAGTAAACATTCAATGTCTTTACAATCGTATACAATGAGACACACAAACACAAACAAAGGCAGAGGCTTCTCCTTTCATTTCTGGCTTCTGGGGGCAGTTCTCATCTCTGGCCCTGGGGAGGTGCTTTCTCCATTTTCATGCCATTGTCACCTCCTGGTTGTGTGGCCAGCAAGATATCTTGAAGCATCGCTTTGCGATTTCCTGCCAAAGTGGGTCCTATTTGTCTATTCACATTTCTATGTTTCTGAACTGCTGGGCTGGCAAGAGCTGGAGCTGACCTATGGGAGCTCACCCCATCTCGTGGATTCGAACTGCCAACCTTTAGGTCAGCAGTTCAGCAGCACAAGGGTTTAGCCCATTGTGCCGCTGCAGCTCCAATTAAAAGGTCAACTTACCTGAATTAAGAATTTTTAAAAGACTCACTAGTGGCCAGCCCTTCTGTACCTCTTTTCAGTTGTCCTCTTTCTTTCCATTTATTTCTTGCTTTGCAAATTTTGTTATTCCATAGAAAACAAAGCAACGGCAAATGAAATCAAAAGAGGGTGTTTTTTTTTAATTTGCGTTACAGCATAATATATATTGAAGACTAAGAAAAAAATAACATATTTATGCTTAAGCACACACACTCAACCTGTGGCTTTTGATGGTATATTCTGTTATGGGATTTGCTAAGGCCAAAGGGGTTTTTTTAATTGCCTTGTGAATGCTATATGCTCAGTGTTGCATGCAATCATCTCTCTGCCAGCAGATTATTGAATAAATTGTGAATATTGACTTTCACTACCTTATTTCAAGTCCCCCGGGGACCTATTCAGTCAGTTGATATTCTGGGACGTACCTGAGCAAAACATTGGATGTGTTTTGCAATGCATTGAAGAGAATAAAGATGTGTATATAATTACCATCACATATTAATGGAAAACCCGTTTTTCCAGCATGACAATAGTCGATGAAGCCTGGTACCATGCAAACCAGGAACTTCAGAGTCCTCTTGATTTTATAGGAAAGAGTTTAATATATCCTTCACTTCCCCATCTCTTGGTTGAAATTAAAGAAGCTAGACATCTTCCTAATAATAAATTTTAAAAAATTCGTGTCAGGAATGACTTGAGAAACTGCAAGTCGCTTCTGGTGTGAGAAAATTGGCTGTCTGTGTGCTGTCGCACGCTGGGCCTGTGCATCCAACTGTAGACGACATAAATTCCGTGTGCCCAACGGGACGCCGGGGCTGCTTCAGATTAAAAGCCTTTGAATTTCTTTAAAACAGAGTCTCTAGATTGCTCAAAGGTTCAACAAAGTTCTTTATTAATGAAAACAAACAGGTACTTTAAGGCTTTCTTAACAGTCTATTGGCTCTCTCTCAATCTTGTCCACAGGGAACAGGCACTATCTTCATAACTGTAACTAATGGGGAAATCCTTAACTTCTAATCTGGGCAGTCTGTCTTTGCCTCTGTTGGCGTGGAGCCTCTGCACCCGGTACCAACTGCTTCTGGCTTCTGCGAGTGACCCTTACCAAGCAGAGCTTTGTAAACTTCCAGGGAAAAAGGAGTTCCGGTTTCAGTGATGGCTGACTGAAGTCCCTCAGTGAAGGAGCTGTAGGGCTGTATAACCCCGGTCAGGCTGTAGGCTGTATATCTCCCCAGCCAAGCCATAGAAGACGAAGCTTTCTACAGGAGCTCTTGGTATTATGTCCTACAGGAAAGGCTTCACTGTATGGACTGACCCAAACTGGCTCCTATTCCCTCCAAAACCCAAAAAGGGGGCGGGACCAGGGAACCTAACTATAATTGACAGGTGGCTTGCCCTATGATTGCAGCCAAAAAAAGCCACCTATCTGCAGAGTCCCTGAAACTTAGGACTACAACAAACATTCAATGCAAAGCAAACAAAATTGGAGCTCCTGGTGCAGTTGTACCAGCACAGTCTGCAAGGACATTGCCCAGGAGACGCCCGGATGTTTTGATGTCTTACCATCCTTGTGGGAGGCTTCTCTCATGTCCCCACATGGCGAGCAGAAGCTGACAGAGGGAGCTCATCCGCGCTCTCCCCGGATTCAAACCTGTGACCTGTCTGTCTTCAGTCATGCCAGCACAAGGGTTAATTAATTAATTAATTAATTAATAATTGTATTCATATATCCCGCCACCATCTTCCCAAAGGGATTTGGGGCTGCTTACATGGGGACCAAGCCCAGTCAAACAGAGTTAAAGTATAACACAATAAAATATACAAAACATCATAAAAACATACACCTCATCAACCAACAACCAGTAGCCAAACACAGTTGACATGTTCAGAACTGAAAGGGCGGGACAAGTGTTTGTGCAATACAACTGCAAGGGCGGGGCTGATAGTAAAGTGCAAGAGTAAGGTATTAAGTTAAGGCTAGAAGGGCCAAAGCACTAGTGAACCAGTTAATCAAAGGCACATTGGAACATCCAAGTTTTTAGGTCTTTGAAGAAGGTGGACAGGATGGCCGTTAATCTAATTTCCCTGGGGGAGAGAGTTCCAGAGCCAGGGGGCCACCACCAAGAAGGCCCTCTCACTCATCCCCACCAACCGTGCTTGCACCGGAGGTGGGAGCGAGAGAAGGGCCTCTCCAGCAGGTCTTAAAACCCGTGCAGGGATCATAGGGGAAGATGTGATCGCAAAGATAGGCTGAACCTGAACCATTGAGGGCTTTGTAGGTGGTAACTTGCACCTTGAATTGAGACGAGAAACTTATCAGCAGATCATTCCAAACTTTTCATGTCGATGACACATTTTTTATATCTACAGCATTTCATGGCACTGTAATTCAGTTTGACTAGCAAACAGGACATTAAACCAACCCCTTAAAAGATATTTGGATGTATACATAAGTTGTAATAATAAAATATATGGGGCACAACATATCTTATGAAATCCTTTCATTTGGGTTTTCAAAAATGTATGATTTTTAAAGTAAAATTATACATTTCCAAGACTTTTGTCATTTCCCATTATGTTTATGCAACACACCTACACATTGCATCCAACATACTAATATGTTGTGACACACAGTTTGGAAACGTTTGCCCTACAGTCCTTTTTTGTGCCCTTTTGTCTCTTTAATTCGTTTCCTTTATTCTTTATTTTTTTAATTATAGGAAGAAAGAAAGGTTCCTCCACCTGTACCAAAGAAGCCCCCAAAAGGAAAATTCCCTATTACACGAGAGAAGTCTCTAGACCTGCCTGACCGACAGCGTCAAGAAGCTCGTCGACGGCTAATGGCCGCTAAACGGGCCGCCTCTTTTCGGCAAAATTCGGCCACGGAACGGGCAGACAGCATTGAGATCTATATCCCAGAGGCCCAAACCAGGCTTTAAAGACCGGAATGCTGCATACATTCTTCATCTTTTTTAAAACAAAACAAAACAAACCGAAAGAAAGCAAAAGCAAAATGCTTGTACAGTTTGTCTCCTCCCTGCTGGTTTGTCACCCACATACACATATATTGCCCTCCCCACTGCCACCGAATGGCCCTTGGTGTTGTGTCCTTTGTGCCACATGCACAGTGGAATGCTTTCTGATTCCTTCAGAGTCCGCTGAGCCCATCACAAGAACAACCGTTCTGTTCTCTCTCCCCTCAATTTCTCTTTGCTTTTGTTTCTTTTTCCTTTTATATTTATGATTAGACTAAACAATCAGCTCCAGTGGATAGGGCTTGTTGAGACCTTACTTATCCAAGATGTTCTCAGAGGACAACAAGAAACACCTCCTGAGATGGAACCCAGCTTCCTTTTTTGTTATTTATATTTTTATAAAATGATGTGATATTTAGGGATAAGAATTACAAACCTTTCAAATGGGTGTGTCTTACCATTCACCAGAGGCATTAGCTAACCCAAGTAGAAGGTGCTACAAATGTCAAGTGCAAGAAAGAAAGAAAGAAAGAAAGAAAGAAAGGAAAAGAACCCATTTCTCTCCCCTACCTTCTCCTCCACTTCGTCATCCCTCTATCTTCCGGGACCCAACTTTCCTTGCCTTGTTCTGAGCTAAAGTTTCTGCCCATGTGTTCTGCCATACCGCTCAACTTTCTTACGGCAAAATAACACTCAGCCTATCATCTCATGTCGAATTGAGGTTTTGGAGATGAACAGGGATATCCAGCCATTAAACTCCAAAATTCATCAGGAACAAGCAAACAAAAAAGCATGGAAACCTTTTCATACTAGGAGAGTCCAGCCTGGAGAGAGATAAGACGGTACAGACAAGCATCTAGATGCCTGACAGAAAAGCGGAAACTGAATTGAGTGCAAATAGGGGGAAAGGAGGAAGCCTTAAGAATTTAGATCTTCTGTAGCAAGATATGAAAAGCTCTATCTGCTCCTTTGGAACATTCATTACATTTTAAACAGTTATTATTTTTATGTTGTGGGTATTTTGTTTACAGGCACCTTTCTTTGATTCCATTTCAAAAGCGATGCTACATGTAATATCTGAAGTTTCAAAATGCTATTTCAATTGAGTTTCCAGGGTATCCTTTAAAACAAAACACACAAAAAAACCTTTTGCTTGTTTAAATTACCAGTTTGTGACATTGTAACCAGTTTAAGAAATATGAATGTGAGTGGTAAGTATATCTCAGTTTAAATGGTAATCTTAAGGTAAAAAAGGTGAACTGTAGTTTACATTTGTATTTATTTTTCTCCAGAATACTTTTTTTTCCTTTTCCTATGCAGTATTACTTTAAAAGATAAAGAAAATCCTCTTGATTGTTTTAGATTTAAAAGATGATTTCAAAGGGCGGGTGACTTCTAACAGCAAAATGTAAGGGGAGTAATTTGTTTCTAAGCACCCCATGGACACCAAGACAAAAGCTAGAACTTAGGAAATATTCCCAAGTAACATGGTTCTAATGCATTTGCTTTCTCAAAGGTACTATCCCAGTTGTTGTTACTACAGTAGAGTCTTGCTTATCCAACATAAGTGGGCCGGCAGAACGTTGGATAAGCGAAAATGTTGGATAGTAAGGACGGATTAAGGAAAAGCCTAATAAACATCAAATTACATTATGATTTCACAAATTAAGCACCAGAAAAGCAATTCAATACACAGTAACGTTACGTAATAATTACTGTATTTGTGAATTTAGCACCAAAATAGGCAAGGGTTCTTTCTTTCTCCCACCCTGGATGTTATTCCGGGTAGGAGGCAGAGTGCGTTGGATAATACAGAACGTTGGATGAGTAAAGGTTGGATAAGTGAGACTCAACTGTACTTTTAAAAGGGAAAAAGTCTTGATGTGTGGGCGCAAGAAGTGTTATCCCACGAATATTGAAATCACGATTTTGCAAAAATATCAAAACTTAAATCCATGAGAAAATAATATTCTTTTATCCCTCTTATTTGAATGATATGTATTTGGCCATAGGCTACTTAAACACTACTAGAGCACTTTGGTTTTTCACCTTGATGAGCACTTTACGTACGTACTTTGCAACAAGCCCTTCAGCCTGTCATGCGATTGAAAATGCGAGGTGTTAAAGGAGCGTTAGCAGGTCTGATGTTGGGTTTTCCCATCGCCTCTCCTCCCCAAAACCCTTTCCTCCAGTGTATTTTGTTAAGCATGCATTCTGTTTTAGGGCAAAGCTGATATAAGCATGTTTAGCTTCAAGATATGACTCTTTAGAACTGAATGTTTGAGAAAGGTGGGAACACTGTAAATTGAGCCTGATCTCTTATGTAGATTTTACCAAATAGCCTTAAACTGCATTTGGAAGCAAAAAAACCAAGAGGAATGTATATCATTAAAAATGCAAAAAAAAAAGTTAACGACTATGACGCAGATGATACTCCTTAATGATTGTTCTGTATCAATTAGGATATTCTCTTCCCCAGTGTTCAAAGAATTCCTGTTCCTGGAAAGAGTGGATTCCTGGGTTGTGTAAAATGCTGCTTATTGCTCTGTTTTAAATGCAAGACTATTTGCAGGTATACGCGACTTTAAAGATGGGTGTTTGTTTGTTTGTTTCAAATGGAGCTGCTAATTAGAAGTAATCACATGAAAGTAAAGTTATACAGTATGCATTTCCTAGAGAGAGCAAATCTGATATATATATTATATATATATATATATATATATATATATATATATATATATATACTCATTCTGTCGTTCCTCTCTTCCCGCCACATCCCAATTATGGCTGCTGCTATGTTTTTATCTCATTTTTAACGGGTATTGCCAAATTGTATATGCTTTTCTCCTTTGTGTACTCCTTTGTAGATCAGGGACTAATGGTAATAAGGTAATCTCATTTGATTTCCCACCATGTGTTACAGTATGGAAACTACAGAGAGAGAGCGATGAAAAGTTCCACAATGATTAAACATAAAGTCTGGTGCATTAAATATTATTTGCCTATAATCCCCATTGAATTTAAACCGTTTTTGCTGAAGTTGTGATCAGGCTAAAGTGCTTCTGCATTAGGCATTATATGACTGTCACTTGCAACACTACAGTAATGAACCAGCTGTTTTTCTAGGAAAAGCACACTAACACATACAACTCCAACAAAAATGGAAGGGTGTTTTTAAATGTGTATACATAAGATCACATGCAAGTGAGGTAATATGTAGTTTGACCCTGTTCAAACTATATAAGCCTTAGGCCAACATGCCTCCAAATTTCAGTGCATCGGGGGGAGGGGGGAGCATTGAAGAACCCCATAAATGCACTTGTGTAGCCCATATATTGCCTGGCCCCAATTGAAGAGAAGGTCTTCAAAGGAAAGCTAAATTCCAGCTAAATTCCAGCATAAATAAAGGTTTTGCTCTGAAACAATTCATGAACTTTATTTTGCTGCATTTAAACAAATGCTCAGGCCAGGATCAAATGAATGAAATACACGGGTGTTTTCAAAACAATGTACCCCATTTCAAATCAGTATATTTCACGATAGTAACATGTTACAATTCCATGAAAAATTACAAACAGTTTCTTGAGTTTTTGAGTTATCCAGTTTTACTAACTATTTTGAGCCAGAAACCAATTAAAAAAATAATTCCACAAATGGAGAATATCCTGTTGGGCCTTATTTTGAGAGGTTGCCATTTTTCAAATTACTAAGGCTAGGGGTTGTCTGTACACTTTTTTTTTGTGCCAGGAACGGCTTGAGAAACTGGTGTGAGAGAATTGGCTGTCTGCTAGGGCGTTGCCCAGATGTCACCCGGATGTTTTTGATGTTTTTACTATCCTTGTGGGAGACTTCTCTCATGTCCCCACATGGGGAGCTCGAGCTAACAGAGGGAGCTCATCTGTACTCTCCCCGGATTCGAACCTCCGACCTGTACACTGGGAGAGGCATCAAGAAGTAATCCTCTGAAACTCTATGCCCCATCTTTCCAAGAGTTAAGAGTTTCATTTATTGTTGGATTGTGGTTGCAGAGAGATTGCAATTTCAAATCTGGTCCATCTTTTTGAAACACCTAGTATTTCAATGGATGTTATATGGGAGAAGTCTAGGGCACCCCCTTTCCCAGCACAATGCAGCTTGATGGCATGAGGTCCATCCTCTTGATCAGTTAGTGGCCAAGGGGCAAGAAGGAGTTCCAGCACCATCCAGCTGCAGTCATAGAGCTGAGATAAAGAGAAAGCTCCCATCCTCATCATAACATATATAGCATATATAGTCCCAGATGGTGACAGCTCAGTCAAGGAATGTAGAAGCCCAGCTTTATGCCCAACAGCATGACCGTTGGGTTTTAGTCCCTCATTGATAAGGAAGGCACCATTTATAAACAATAGATTAGACCCGTCTGAATCAGTTAAACACTAAATTGCATGCTATTCATGCAATGATGATAATATATTGATCATAAGCCTTTTCTTCTGTAGATCACCTTCTTGGTTCCACTTTTGTTCCAAAGAGAAAAAAAAATGTTAAAATATAAACCAGATGCCTTCTGCTAACTGATAAAAGGTTAACCGATCACAAGTCAAGTTTTTAAGTGCAATATATTCACTTTCTTTTGTACAGGAAAGATTCAATCAACAATGGCAGATTATAAGCCTAGCTTCTTATTATACATTTAGTTTTTAGGGAATGGGGTGGGACTAAATTTAATATTTATAATATTTGTGTTGCAAGTAAGAATGAGTGCTAAAGATTATATAGAGAGTATTACTTGACATGCTTCAGATTTGAAGTCCTTTATATAATTAAAAGGGAGGGGAGAGATACAGCTGTATACTGCAATCGTGCTGAAAATGTACAGTTTCCAGTTAAACATATTTATATTCCGTTTTGAAGGTATGTTACAATTACCATTTCTGAAATAATAATCTCCAAAATAACATTAGCACCCAGAGTAACGGCCCAATCTTATATACTTGTCTATGCAGAAACAAGTACAGATAAGTTCTGTGAGACTTCCATAGGCTGTAAAATACAAATATAATAAAGCCAACAGCAGAATCCTCAGAAATAAACCTCATTGTGTCCAGTGGGTTTTACTCCCAAGTATTGGTTCATAAGATTGTTGTGCAATCCTAAACACAGAGACAAGGTACTGAGTCCTTACTAAGTAGCAGACTTGTGCAGGCATATCTGTGAATCTATATTCTTAGACACAATACAGCTGACTACTGAATAAGCTTATGAAAGATTGGAGTAAATGGAGCAATCTCTCTGAATAAAGGTGAAAAATATTCTAGACCTCTTCCCGATGTCTGGGGCTATGTTTTGTATCATCAAGATCCCATCTTGTGTCATATTTATTGATTTTCATTATTTACTCCTCAGTTTTCAACCTCATTAAAATATTTTGTATGCATGTCTATAGTTTGCTGCTTAGATAATCAGAATGGCCTTGTATAAATATGCAAGGTTTAAAATGCATTTTCCTTTAATGTCATTAAAAAAATCAAGTAATTATCACATCCATTTCAGAACATAA